GATGGCATAATGTGGAAGATGTCCTGTGTGGCCCAGTGGTGCACTCTCCCTGATTCCTTATGCCAGGGACTCTGGATGTAATCTTTGTGTGGGTTGTGTGTGACCTATTGCTGTTGCCAAGACTTTATTATTGTTAGTAGATCAGTGGATGGCATTAACAGTCAGGCTGATTAATTGTGGGAACTGGCTTCAGAGTAAGAGTTGCTGTGTGGCGGCTGACCCCAGAGTGGGATTTGACCTAGCAAGCTTGTGTACTTGTTGTAACCACCCTTTGCATCACTAACGAGACTAGTCAGGAGTTGCTCCATGTGGTCTGGTGCCAGCTTCCAGATGCATTGGCTTTGTGGCCCCTTGGGAGGGGCTTCCCTTTAGGCCAAGGTCAGCCAATGCTTTGATTGCGCAGGGTTACCCGGTGAGAACTACAAAGCGATCACAGATGGTTGTTGCCTAAGCTAGCCCTATATAGGTAAGAAGAAACCACACTGTAGGTAGCGGTCGGTTATCTCCCATCCCTGACCTATGGCAGTTTAGCAGAGGGACCAGTACTCCTGAAGGCCTGACACTGTCTATCAGTTGCCTGTAAGTCTCTGAATCTGGATGAACCTCTGAATGATTATGTATGTTGGTTGGCACAGGGACCCTGGGAGTCTCCTGCGTCTATTAAGTAAATTTCTCCCTGCCACTGCGATGTCAGTTTACATGCCAACGCTGTCTCTGTGGCTCCCTGTACAAGTTTCCACTCATAGCAAGGTCAGCTGCTGCCCACCTTAGACCTGAATGCGCCACCCCATGGCAGGGGCAGCTGCCTATCAATGTGCAGAGTGCACTGTGTGTATTGAACGGGGCAGGAGCTCAGGGATTCAAGGGCCATCAGGCCAATAGTCTCAGTTTTCTGTAATTTCTGTGTCTGCACATTCCTTCCATAGCCACAGATCACATGGAGACAAGTTGCTGTCTGGGGCAGTCTCACAGACTCCTGCGATCCCCTCAAGATATACTGCAGCTTGTACAAGCAACAGTGGTCTGCCTACAACTGTTTTCACCTAAACATACTCATTGCGCTAGCTGAGGTCTGTTGCCTGAGCAAAATGCACACCCCCAAATCCAAGTAGGGCAGGGGAGGCTGCCTGTCATGGGCTGCAGGCACTCTGTGGCTTGAGTGAAGCAGGATCTCAGGGAGACAAGGGTTGTCAGGCTGATACAGCCTGTTTTGGTGCAACTTTTGTACCCAAGTTTTCCTGCTGTCGTCATAGATCACAGTGAGATGGCCATCTGGGGCGGTCCCACACTCTTGCTCTCCCCAGACAGAATATTCCAAATTTGCAGGCAGCGAAGGTCTGCCTGCAACTGATTTCTGTGCAGTGACCAACCTGCGCTAGCCAAAGTTTGTTGCTTGTATGGATTGGGAGTTCAGGGCAGGGAAGGGGCTGTGCTGTGGCAGTTCTCTGACAATGGTCCACCTGGGGCAATTCGTGGGTAGGGTGGGGCAGGGTCTCAGAGAGACAATGGCAGTCAGATCTATATAGCCTCAGTCTTTCTGTAAATTTGGTTAACTGTTTGTGAGTTCCTGCAGAAGCCCCAGATCACGGCAAGACCTGTTGCTGTCTGGGACCGGCCCACAGGTCCCTGATATCCACCCCTAGTTCATGTTGGCAGCAGTGATCTGCCTGATCCTATCTTGGAAATGCGGCTCAGAGAACTGGTCGCCTACTGTCAATGCTTGGACCTGAACTGGAGCAGAGTCTGGCAGCCATCCAGCAACAAATGCCCTGGGCAATCTGCAGGTTGGGTGGGGCGGGCTGATACCTTCTGACCAGGGCTTCCTAAGGGCTCTGTGGGAGGGGTCTGCACAGTCAAGCTGTGTGGTCTGTACATTGCCCTGTAAGGGAGCTAGACTAAGGCACAATGGTGGCTGCCCTTCCAGCCCTAGTTCTGGTGCCAGGTAATGCAGACACTCAGAATGAATCCTACCTACACAAGCCTCTAACCCACCACCAGTATCCTAGTGAGAAAGCCTACGCACAGGTCTTCCAAAGGGATGTCTAGGGATTCAGTCTCCTTCCATCTTGCCCACACTTCTGGAATCCCCTCTGGTTTCTATAGTCAAGAGTTATTGGAATCTCCTTTTCCCTAAGCTGGGACCCTGGGCTTGGGAGCCCCCAGATGAGATTAAGACCCTCCCTCCCCTTCAGAAAAGCCTCTGCAGCCTTGCTGTCCCTCCCAGTGATCCTCCACCACCCATGGGTGTGAGTCCAACCCAATTTGTGACTTTGCCCCTCCTACTGGCTTCAATGTGGCTCCTTTATATTGTCAGACATAGGTGTTATGATCAGCTGGACTTCAGGTGATTCTCCATGTTGATTATAATTTGGTTGTAATTTTAGTGTGGACCTGGGAGGAGACGAAACCTGATTTTACCTAGTCTGCCATCTTCCCTAGAATCCGGGGTTATACATTTTAAGTAAATGCTAAGGCAACAATATCATGTAGTTTGGCTAAACTCTCAAAAATAGTCCTATATCATCTCATGTTAACTATGTCCCAGTATGTACAACAAAAAGAAATATATTATATAAACTATGAAGAAAATTGCTAATGAATTGATTCAAGTGCATTACCAACTAGCATTTTGTTACCTACAACCTTGAATAAGGTGGGATAAGTTAACAACAGAACACGTCATTCATTACACATCAGTGTGAACAAATTCAAGTTTAATAAAAACATATTAAGTTCAAATAGTTTAAGTGAAGCGTGACAAAAACAATGTGAGCTTTTGCAATTTACAAATTACAAGCAGTCAAGCAGCATTCAGGTTCTTCTGGTATAATAATCTGAGCATGGTGCTATGGCTTTCAAGACTGAGGCTCACTGTTTAGTAAACAAGGATGTTCCTAAATTTCATGCACTTAAAATGACTTGTCTATACTTTCTTATATATCTCTAAAGACTTTTTAATACCTACAGCACCTGGTATTCTTAAGTGATCTCCTATCCAAGTACTAACCAGGCCCGACTTTACTTAGCTTCCAAGATCAGACGAGATTGGGCACATTCAGGGTGGCATGGCCGTAGACTCTAAAGACTTAATTCAACCACATCATATAATATTCATATAATATTCAACCATGGCTATGAGAAAACATCAGAATTTCAATGAATCCCACGTTATTTTTCTCAGAGAGCAATGCTCCTTTTTACATTAATACAAAGAATAATGACCTGAATACCTACATCACGGTGTCTTCCATCAACATTCTGAGCACAAACATCTCTATTTCGATTTTCTTCATATGTTGTACATCACAGTGCCCTCAATCTTGAAGGGAAAAGTAGATCGGAGGGCATTCCAGCTAATACACAAAGGCTCTCAAATCTTTGAGAAAGCAGCAATCGACACCATAATTCATATACACACTGGGCCTAAAAACAGCATGAAGTGATTTGATAGTGGAATATTTCCTTTGCAAAAAACCTCAAGTACTGTCAATATAAAAAGGCACATTAATTCTACCTGTTCGAACATCCATCTCCTTGAAGCATATTAACATTTTTTAAACTTTTGCATTTGTATTCTATACAAATATTCTGGTTTAGTGTATCTGAAAAGTGTTCTTGACTTACTACTTTCTGATGTCAATTCTGTAATATTTCAGATGTGATTTTTGATTAAATATTTCCCCGCATTGTTTTTTCACATCTTTAGTCTCTTTGTAGCATGAATTCAGTGTTTTCTGAAGTGTATAGTTTGGACAAAGGTCTTTCAAGTATTAGAGACTTTCTCACCAGTAACTATTGTGATGTGGAGGCTGAAGGTCCAGATATAGGGCTTCTCACATTCTTCAGAGACGTTTCTCTCCACTATCAATTCTATCATGATCAATAAGAGTTGGAAACCAATTAAGGCTTTGCTACATTCTCTACATTTGTAAGGTTTCTTTCCATTATGAATTTTCTCATGTTGAGTAAGACGTGAACACTGATTAGTCTTTGCCACATACATTTGTAAGACTTTGCTCATGTATGTATTGAGATGTATTCCAAAAAAAAATTTACCACAATCTCTACAATTTTGACACTGCTCTGCAGTTATGTATTCTCTCATGTTGAATAAGATGTGAATGCTGCTGAAAGGATTTGCCACATTTTTCACAATTGTTAGGCTTCTCTCCAGTATGAATTTGAATTATCTCATATGAAGTGAAAGAAGCCAATCTGAAAAGGCTAAGTACTGTATGGCTTCAACTATATGACATTCTAAAAAAGGCAAAATAATGGAGATAGAACTATACCCTTTGGGGGTAATGATGTGTCAATGTAGCTTCATCTATGTAACAAATTTACCACTCTGGTGGCAGATGTGGAGAAGAGGGAGACTATGCATGTGGAAACACTATGAAACTTCAATTCTGCTGTGAACCTCAAACTGCTCTTAAAGACAAAGTCAAGCTCAGACTTCTGCTTCTCTGAAATATGTTCTAGGGTCCATACGTCTTTCTAGTGGTTCTTTACTCATTCCAAAATATCTATGTATCTGCTAATCAAAAAAGCCACAAACAATAAGACAGCACTTCACACCAAATATGAAGACCACTATCAAGAAAACAAAAAATCAAGCGTTGAACCAATGTTGAGAAATTAAACCCTTATGTAGTCGGATGAATTGTAAATCGGGGCAAATTGTAAGAACACAGTATGGTGTTTCTCAAAAATCAAACGTAGAATAATCCTAAAATGCAGCCAACCCACTTCTGGGTAAGATATTTTGATTACAGCCTCATAAGTGTCATGGGGCAGAGCGTGGAGAGAAAAACCCAGGGGTGCACACTGTGAGTACATAACTGCTAACTTGTATATTATTTGAACCCAACATGTAAGAAAATTGTCATAGATTCCTTTGACCTTGAGAGTGCAATGGTGCATTGCCTGTTTCTCTTAAGAAGTATAGTACAAAGGTGGGATGAAACTGTGTTGGTATAAGAAACATGATTCATTCAGGGTTATGAAAAGTAATTAAATTTTATTCATTAAAACATGAGCCCTAAGATATATTCCCAATGAACCTGGCAAAACATAATACCAGCACTTTGGTGAGAACCATACACACATACATACTATTCTGCTTCTTTTGAATAAGCTTCCCTCTCAGGTACCTGCTCTTTCTCTATAATTTCCATGAATAAGACAAATTTTCCATGAATCTTTGATATATAAGTTATTGCCATTCAAAGGAGAAAGTCACCACTTCTTCTGCATCACTTCTAACACTAATCACCCCCTAATCACCTATCGTTCTCCTCCTATGGAAAGCTCAACCTTCATGTCCAGACCTGCACTTTTTCATGGTGGGTGGAGCCTTGTATCCTGACCAACATAACCTGTCAAACGACAGGCACCCTGTGCTTAGTAAATATGAAGACTGAGAACAGAGTTTTCCATTATTCTCTGCCTTCCCTGATGCTAGTTCATAGAACGATGAATGTCATATTCAGTGTCCTTGTTCTACTGGGAAACACAGCAATGAACCATGCCCCCTGAAGTAGGCTCTTTCATCATATGGATTGCTTCCCAGAGACTAGAATGAAAGGCCTGGAAGGAAGTCATAAGTTCAACAGACTTTGGACTTAAGGTTAAATTTCATAACCACACAGTCTTTAAAGAAAATAAAACTAAATGTTATAAACAGTGAAGAAAATGGGCTGTTTGTACACGTCCTTGTTCCTATGATATATAACGTGTCTCAAGCTTTAATACAAAATCTGTAATGTTTCTGCAGTATGTAATGTCTTAATTTCAAAGAACTGGGGACTTAGCTATTTCTAGTATGGATTATTGACTGAGGAGCTGGTTTTGAGAACTGGTTAAATAATTTACTTACTATCTTCATTACAAATGCACGAATCCTGAGGACACACTCTTGCTTAGTTAGTATTTCCATGTTCATTAGTATAATTTCTGCCTTCCATTGTCATTACACAAAACATGTATATATTTGATGAAAAGCCTTATGACGTTCACTACATTTGTAAGGTTACACTCCAAAATATTATCTTCTGATGTCCCAGCTTTACCTTTTATGAAAGCAATAACACGCACATTACTTTTGCACGGTTTCTCAAATTCTGCTGTCTAAAGACTGAAAGGCTTGGATAAAGGTTCTGACACATATTTATATAATTTCTCTTCACTGTGGAATCTGGTCTTTAAAGATACGTGAACTCCAATGGCTTTGCCACACTCATTGAACTGTAAGGAATCGTTCCACTGTTCCCAATCATTTATCTCTGGAAACTTTGTCACACAATAATGTGTGGTATCTCTCCAGAACATATATTCTTATAGCTACCAAAGAGTTGGTCCTAATTTAAAATTTTGCCACGTTCACAGCATTTCCAAGTATGAACTATTTACTGAATCCTAAATTGAAGGCAATACCTAAAAGCCCTGCCAAATCCACTACATTTCTAAATCTTTTCACCAGTATGGAGTATCTGATGCTAAGCTTCTTTGAATTCACACTAGTGGCTTTGCCATACTCAATACTTTTTAAGGTTTTCTACAGAATGTGTTCTCTGATGAATCACAAGGTGTGATTTGTTTTGAAACACCTTGCCACAGTTGTTACATTTGGAAGGTTTCCTTCCATTATGGAGTGACTGATGGAAAGTGAGGTCTGAATTAACTCGAAACGCTTTGCCACACTCATTACATTTGTAAGGTTTTACTCCATTGTGAATCATCTGATGTCTTGCTAGGCTTGAAAAAACACTAAAGGCTTTGCCACATTCACTGCATTTGAAAGGTTTCTGTCCAGTATGGATTCTCTGATGTATAGTTAGGCTTGAATGCGCACTAAAGTTTTTGTCACACTCATTACATTTGAATGGTTTCTCTCCATTATGAATTATCTGATGACTAGTTAGGCTTGCATGGACACTATAGGCTTTGCCGCACTCATTACATTTATAACGTTTTCGTCCAGTATGGATTCTCTGGTGTTTAGTGAGGTTCGTATGTACACTAAATTCTTTACCACACTCACTACATTTGTATGGCTTCTCTCCAGTATGAATTATCTTATGACTAGTTAAGCTTGCACGGACACTATAGGTTTTGCCACACTCATTACATTTGTAAGGTTTCTCCCCACTATGAGTTACCTGATGGTAAGCTAGGCTTGCACGCAAACTATAGGCTTTGCCACACTCATTACATTTGTATGGCTTCTCTCCAGTATGCAACCTCTGGTGTGCATTTAGGCTTGAATGGGCACTAAAGTCTTTGCCACACTCATTACATTTGAATGGTTTCTTTCCACTATGAATTATCTGATGACTTGTTAGGCTTCCACGCACACTAAAGGCTTTTCCACATTCATTACATTTGTAAGGTTTCTCTCCAGTATGCAATCTCTGATGTGTAGTTAGGTTTGAATGCACACGAAAGGCTTTCCCACACTCATTACATTTGTAACGTTTCTCTCCACTATGAGTTAACTGGTGGTAAGTTAGGCTTGCACGGACACTATAGGCTTTGCCACACTCACTACATTTGTAAGGTTTCTCCCCCGTATGGATTCTCTGATGTATAGTTAGGCTTGAGTTGGCACTGAAGTCTTTGCCACACTCATTACATTTGTATGGTTTCTTTCCACTATGAACTATCTGATGACTTGTTAGGCTTCCACGTACACTAAAGGCTTTGCCACACACATTACACTTGTAAGGTTTCTCTCCAGTATGGATTCTCTGATGAGTAGTTAGGCTTGAATATGCACTAAAGTCTTTGTCGCACTCATTACATTTGTATGGTCTCTCTCCAGTATGTAATCTCTGATGTCTAGTTAGCCTTGCATGCACAATAAAGGCTTTGCCACACTCATTACATTTGTATGGTTTTTCTCCAGTATGGATTCTCTGATGTTTAGTTAAGGTCGAATGCACACTAAACTCTTTGCCACACTCATTACATTTGAAAGGTTTCTCTCCAGTATGGATTCTGTGATGTGTAGTTAAGCTTGAACGCAATGTAAAGGCTTTGCCACACTCATTACATTGATAAGGTTTGTTTCCAGTATGAATTATCTGATGATTAGTTAGGCTTGCACGCACAGTAAAGACTTTCCCACACTCATTACATTTATAAGGCTTCTCTCCAGTATGCATTCTTTGATGTATACGTAGGTTTGAATGCACAGTAAAGGCTTTCCCACACTCATTACATTTGTAAGGTTTCCTTCCAGTATGTACTGACTGATGGTAACTGAGGATTGAAGGCATCCTAAAGGCTTTGCCACACTCATAACATTTGTAAGGTTTCTCTCCAGTATGGATTCTCTGATGACTGGTTAGGCTTGCACGCAAACTGAAGGCTTTGCCACACTCACTACATTTGTAAGGTTTCTCTCCAGTATGGATTCTCTGATGTACTGTTAAGCTCGACTGCGCACTATAGTATTTGCCGCACTCGTTACATTTGTAAGGCTTCTCTCCACTATGAGTTCTCTGATGACTAGTTAACCTTGAACGCATCCTAAAAGCTTTGCCACACTCAGTACATTTGTAAGAATTTTTCCTGCATGCTTTCAGGTCTTCTGTCAGTATTGAAGGATGCCTAGAATCATTCCTATATATAGTATAAATGGTGGACTGGACACTAGAAAAAGCTCTTTGAAGTGGAGAGATGGAGGAATTATTGTTGAAAGACTTCTGAATGGCCAGATTATATTCATCAATGTTTCCTTCAGTGTGAAATATCTCCATATCAGCGCGATTTGACTGAAACCTCAGTCCAAGTTTGTTTTCAATAGGCTCCTTTCCGGCATGCTCGCTACCAAATTCACCTTTTCTATCATTAAGATGTTTTCTAGGACTTATAGGTATTCCTTTGTGATTCCTTTCATCATCTCTCTGCTGACAAGCAAAATCATGCATATGTTTCTGGATTTCCCCGAAGTAAAAATCTTTGATTATATGGCTTTCACAACTTCCAAACATCACTGTTTGATATGCTCTTCCTGCACTACTGGGTTTTGTCGTTTTTAATTTCTTGATCACATATGAAGGACAGAGATCTACAAGAAATTTTAAAAAACATATTTACCCTATTAATTCATTTCTAAGTAAATGTATAATGTTGAAATCTAGTATTACACCACAAGTAAAGGTACACTGAACAGTTATGAAACTTTCCAAACATGACCTTCAAACTTCTAAAATAATAAACAAAATTCTTTACCAACAAAATAGTTGTCACCTGTAAATCAAATTAAGGGTAGCCTAGTTTTAAACACTGATAAAAACACTCAAGTTGTGTAAATTTATGTTAACTTTCAACAAAAAGTATTACTCCATCATTATTCCAAAATATATACCATGTTACTAACCATACTGTTACCTAATAACTGCAAAAAATATATATGTCTTCCTTCATACTTATTGGATATAAATAAATGCTGAAGTATATATAACGGTAAGTAATCCAAAACAATGTTATCTAAAGAATATATATAGAGAGCAGTCTAAAATTATACAAGAAACATAACAGTGAGAAAATTAAGGCATCAATAAAACATGCTTAAAAAAACAAAATATTTTTCTAAATATGTCATAAAACTATCTGTACCCACGAAGTGGCATTTGAGAACATCGACATGTGTGGGGCATGTTAGTTATATTGCATAATAAACATGAAATCATCCATATGTCACAACGAAAGTTAATTTAAAAAGGATTCTAAGAACTCATGAGAAAACTAACAGTAAATAACAGGTAACCATATTACAGAAAGTGAACTCTCTCGAACTCTAAACATTCACCTACTTAAAAATAAAGAAAGAATTTCTGTTTTAGAAAGAACACACAATATGAGAAATGGAAACTACATGGGCAACACTGTCTTCCAAATATCAACGTCAGGAAAAGACACAACATTATGAAAAATATTAGAAGAAGCCAAAACTCACTATTGAGATTTTATGACTGTTCTATAACAGCTGATCCATAGAGTGATTCCCTATGTATACAGGGCCGTGTATTTACCCAGTACATTGGCCCACAACATACGTAATAGAGTCTGTGCCTTAAAAATTGATTGAGGGAAGATGTGACAAAATAAAAACATAGAATACATTGCAGGCAAAAGAATATCTCATAATAAAGATGCCAGAAAGTTGATATATCTTATTAAACAAAACTAACTTTTGAGTATTCAGTACAAAGTATGCAATATCCTAAGCCATCTAACAGCACTAATGTGTTTTAAAAAGCCTTGTGGGAAATTACCAATATACATTCAAATAACGGCAGTAGACTAACGAAGTTTATGGAAATAACCCTTTTACATAGATGACAGAAACAAAAGTGGACCCTGGACCTAAAGACTCAGGTGACATGTTCTGAACCATAACTGCCCACCCAAGCAGTGCAGATCAAAAAGGCTTATACAAGGAGCTTGGAAAGAAATACTCCAAGGACATAAAACAGCTAAGCTGTGTCACTATTTTAATGTTGCACAGCTATCGGTCCTGAAAATGGTTTCTGGGTCATCACCTATCAAGTGTGACTTGAAGAGTTAAAAAATCTGAACACAACTATAACTTGTAAGGAGATTAAATGACTAATCAAAAACCGTTCAGGAGATAAATAACAAAAAGTCACTACAAAATTCTATCTAACATTTAAGAAAAACAAATACCCATCTTCTTCAAACACCTCTCAAGAATCTGAAGCAGAGGTTGGAACCCTTCGGAACTCAACCTGGGAGGCCAGAATTGCCCTAAAAGCGGTACAAAAACAATATGTGAATAGCACAGACCAATATCGCTGATGAATAATAATAAAAAATTACCAATGAAAGCATAAACCAAGTAACACATTGAAAGGAATATCCAGCATAACTAAGGGGGATATGTCCTTGGAATGCAAGGTAGTTTCCACATGGGAAAATCATTCGATGTAATACTGCACAGTAAAAAGAACGAACAAAAAAAGGACATGATCACCTCATCTGATGCAGCAAAAGCATTGGAGAAAAGTTAGCCTTTCATGAGGGGGGAAAAAAGAAAACCTCAATCAATGAACTAGGAAGAAAAACCAAGTTCCTCAACATAAAAGATGATCTATAACACAAGCCCACAACTAATATACTGGTAAAAGAGTAAAAGCCTTTACTCTAACATCAGGAACAAGAGAGGGATGCCCACTCTCAATATTTCTATAAAAAATGGTACTGGAAGTTCTCACCAGATCAAGTGGGCAAGAAAAGTAAATAAATTTGAAAGCTATGAAATAAAAATGCAAAAATCCATTTGAGTTTTATATATTAACAAAGAACAATCCTCTAAACAATTCTATTACAATACCAAATATTAAAACAAAATAACAAAGAAATAAAATAAAGTATCAATAATGTAATAAAATAAAATAAAATAAAATAAAATCTTTAGGTGTAACGTAACACAAGGAGGGGAAGATTTGTGCGCTCTCGATGAAAAACAATACCAGAAAAATGTACACAAGATACAAATAAATGCAAAGACATTCCACATTTAAGGACTGGAATATTGTCAAGGTGTCAATACTAAACAAAGCCATCAACAGAGTCAATGTAATAATTATGAAATTTGTAACAGCATTTTTTGAAGAAATAAGTCCATCCTAAGTTTCAAATAAAAGCTCAAAACTCTGTAATTGAAAAAAAACAAACTTAAGAAATAAAAATCAAAGTCTCATAGTTCCATATTTCAAAATTACAAAGCTAAACCAATCAAAATACGTAGTACTAGAATACAGAGAGCAGCAGAAAAGAGCAGTCAGGTATATATACATACCGAGGTATATATAATCAAATGATATTTCACAGGGTTGTCAAGACCACTCGATTAAAAAAAAAAAGCCCAAGATATTCAACCAAAGATGTTGATAAATCAGGATATAAATATAAAAAAGAAATTTGGAACAATCCTTACACCACATGGAAAAATTAACAATAAAATGGACAACAAAACATAAGACTCAAAGCTATAAAATTCCTAGAAGAAAACATAGAATAACTTACATTGGATTCAACAGTAATTTATGAAATGACACAAAAAGCACAGGCAACCAAAGTAAACACAGATAAACTGAACTATGTCAAAATTACAAACTACTGTGCAGCAAAGGACATAGTCAATCGAGTAAAAAGCCAATCCATGGAATAGGAGAAGATATTTGGAAATCATATATATCAGAGAACGTTTTACTTAGTATATCATTGGTTTATTGACAAAGGATAAAGGCATGAACAGCCAGATAAAAGACATGAATAAGGAAACCTATGAGGGAAGGGTCAGAAGCTCCCATGCCCCTCCCAGCATTTTACTCTCCCCAGTCACCACAGGTTCACTAACCTGGAACACTCTCCGTTGGGGTTTTGGGGAGGTCTCATTAAATAGGAATGACTAATTAAATCATTGGCCATTGGTGATGAAACTCAATCCCTAGCCTTTCTTCCCTCCCAAGAAGTCATGGGGTGAAACTGTAGTTCTGACTCTCTAATTCTATTGTTGGCTCTCCTAACAACTAGCCTTCCCATCACTGAAGATTTCCAAAGTCACCTCACAAACAGTGATCCCACTGAAAGGGGCTGCTTATAAGACCCCCATTTCACCTTTAAGGCCCTGAAGAGACTGCAAGAACTGAGGACAAGAGACCATGTGTTGTAACAGGAGATCCCCCCATTGTTCTTTTTGCTCAGGGAATTCCAAACCTTTGGAGCTCGAGGCAGAAATGAGGACAAAGACCACATATTTATTTATGATCATAAATCACAGTATCAATAACTTATACGATCAACATCAACAACTCCACACATCTTGATTAAAGGCAGGCGAAGGACATGAGCAGACATTTATCTGGAGATGATGTACAAACACATGAAAACGTGGTTAGTATAATTAATCATCAGGAAACGCATCTGAACCATGATATCACAGCACACTCATTACATTGGTTACTACCAAAAAAAACAAAATAACATGAGTCAGAGAGGATGTGAAAAAAAGGGAATTCTTATGCACTTCTTCTGAGAAAGTAAAATGCTTTAGCTGCTATTGAACCCAGTAGGGCAGGTCCCTGAAAAGCAAACATTGAATTATCATCCCCTACAGCCTGATCGTGGGTGTACCTTAAAGTTCCAATGTTGAAATCCAATAAATCACAATCATGAGCCTGTGGGAGGTAACGGAGTTGCGAGGGCAGATCTCTCCTGAGGGGCAGTTAGGCCACGTGCACTCTACATAGATTCGGATGGGAAGACTAAAAAAAAAAATTGTCTTCACATGTTTTCTTAAAAATAAAATTTCCAGACCTTGAGAAATTTTATAGAAATTACAAGTGCTATAAAGAACAGTGGGAAAGGAGTTTCAAAAATGAAAAAATTCAGGTAACCTGCCTGTGAAATACTATAAAATAATTAATGATTAATACGTATACCAACGTGGACATGATGGTTCCAGACAGGATGAGTATTATAAGAAAAGACCAGTTACACCAAGACATAAAAATGCAGTGAAACTTATAAAAATATCAACAAATTATAGAAAACTAAAACGTTCAACAGAAAAACCAATGACTCTTCCACAACTATGACAAATTTAATGCTATGCCTTGGATTAAGAATGTGACATAAAAAATAAGCATAGTCTCAAGGCACCGAAAACCCAATTTAAAACTTTTACTGAATTCAACTGAAATAAGAGTAACTTAATATGCGGTATTAAGTCAAGTGAAAGAAGTAAAAAAAATATTAAGAATATCTTTTCAATATACTCTAAAACAAGTTTAAGATTTACAGAAAAAGGCTGGTAAGCCATACCCACTGCACTAAAGAAGGAAATACCATCATATATATCAAACAATGTCAGTTACCCAATTCCACCCTCCCACACACAGCCAATATAAAACACTAATCAAACATAAAAACTGATGACTAAATAAGTAAGATCCAAGTTAATTTATAATGCATGGGAATCTACAAGATGAATGGAGCACTGGCAAACAAATGACAGTGACTTCATTGAGGCACCTTTCAACTGAATAACCTCTCTCAATTAGAGGCTTCAATATTGTACCTGCTGAGGCAGCGTGCACAGCAGCACACACAGGATGAGAACTTTGGCATGAACAAGTTTAGTCAGTAGAATCAAGGACAGGAGGCTGTGAACTTGTACAGTGTTCTCCCAGGAAACATTGTGGAAACAGTAAAGAAAATTGAAAACACATCAGTCTTGCTTTTGTGACACTTTATATCTTGGTGTCTTGGGACATGCTGACCACTTTACTGGGCCCCTCAAAGTGCTGCTTCTCTGCGTAGCAGGATAATATTGCAACATAGAAGTAAAAGTATCTCCATCAAGAATTTTCCGTGAGCAAGGACACTCATTCCATAGGAGAGCCCGCCAGGAGTTGTCCATCCCCTAATTTTGCTGGATGACTCCGGCAAAAAACAGTGAATTATCAGACCCCAGCAATGTGTAGTTCATGGGCAATGTTCAGAGGCAAACCATGGAAAACTACAGAGTATGAAATCTGGAAGAGTCCATATTCCTATATGAGGTAGCATAGTGCAGAGAAAGAGGAGTACTAGGAATGGGGTCAGACACTGCAGGATCATGAGTGGACCATGCGCGCCACCACAGACCCCACGCTATAAGCCTGGGAGTTTGCAATGTGCTCCTCGTGTAGGACTGGAGACCAAAGAGTCATTCTCTCTGTCCACTTTCTCTAAAGATTTCCTAATAACCATTACAGAGATCCTACCCACTTCCCTGTAATATACACCTCTGAAGTGTGAAGAAAAAGCAAAAGAGATGTCTCAGGGACCAGAACAGGTGTCAGAGAACCAAAGAGTCCCACCTACAGTACAGAATGGAACAAATGGATAGAGGGTCCTCTCTTCTGATCAGTCCTTCCAACCACAGGAAATGAGGATGGGACCAGGATCGGTCCAGAAAGCAGAACAGCAAGGCCTCAGCTCTGTTCCGTATGGAATGAGAACAGAGCATTTGATGGAACCCAGTCCGGGAGAGACCAGGGGAACAGAGACCATTTGACACAGCCTACCCCACACTCCTGAGCTCAAGGAACCAAAGACGTCACAGGACCACAGAACAGAGTGTTGTGATCACGATAAAGACCCAACCTTTCTGTTAAAAACGCAGCCTCAATGAGGGTGAAAAAATAAATTTTACACCTTGAAGGATGGACGAATAAGTCGGAAAGAAGAAAAATTATCTTTCAGGGACCAAGAAATAAACTGTTTGCTCACAGAACTTTCTTGCTTGGGAGGGTTTGCAAACATTATGAAGGCTGCAGCCTCCTCTCTCTCTTCCCAAGCTCTTACCTGTGTTCACACCTTCGATACGTGTCCACCAATTTGGTATTTGTGCTGTTTTCAACTCGCTATCCAGAGTCCAAAGTGCTTTCCCTTGCTTCAAAATGGAGACAATATACAGATCAGGAACAGAAATTCCTGCACATAAGAAGAAAGGAGCATCAAGACCTGTAGTTCTGTCAGAATCCACAATCTCTGTTAAACTGAGGAATGAGAATAGTACAGACAACTTAAAAACAGTTCACAAATGTATAGACTCCTCCTCTCCTTCTGTGCATAGGGGCCAGTATCACATGCAGATACCAAACTCTCTTCATGTACTGAATCAACACATGAAGACAGAAAACAAAGAATTAGATATTTAAGTTTGCCACAGGGCTTTATAAAAATTAAGCCTGATAACAATCCCTGATGTATCACAACGTGGGCAATCATCTGAAAAAAGGGCGAGGTTAAAGTCCTGATGCCATATTATGAAACCTTTTCATATCTCAGTAAACAAAGCTTCGATCTCAGTCACACAAACAAGGGCTCCCAGGAAGCACGTAGGGAAAAGGAAGAGACACACAAGGCATATCCTGACCCTGGAGGGAAGTCATACACACCTAGGAAGAGCAGGTTCCGGTAGTTCTCCAACATCACCTCCCTGTACAAGGCCCGCTGAGCTGGGGCCAGGCATTTCCACTCTTCCTGAGAGAATTCTATGAACACATCACTGAGTGTCAACCGTCCCTGAAAGAAAACACATTTCAGCAAGGGGAAACGGTGACAGTTCTTACCTCCACACAGAATGGGAAGAGATATAATATCGATTCAGGTAGAATTTTCTGACAGATCCACATTGGAAATTTTTGAGCAAGTTACATGTCTGTAATGTTGTTTTATATTACTTTCCCGTAAAAGGTTATGATACCATGTAAATCAGGGAGGGCCTCTCGTTTTTGCAAACAATACATGAAATTACAATTAAAATTTAACACCACGCTGTCTCTACATAAGGGTTACATGTCCTACACACTGAGTGATATTCATTGTCTAGATGAACTAGAGCATGAGCAGTGTCATCAGAGATGACAAAGTCCATAGCATCTCTTAAAAAATTCAGATTTCTTAAATTATGATGAGAACAATAGCCATGTTGAAGAAAAGTTTTAGAACACGTCCTATGTGCATTAGTGTACATGCTTTATGTATTTTAAGCTGTTATCAACATAACAGCTCACTGTAGACAAACCTGTTCTCATCTTAGAGGAGAATATGTGTTACAGACATTCTAAAAAACTCAGCTCAGCTTAAATTCTACGATTTGATCAAGCAAACACCTGAACTCAGGTGCTGGGGTTTAGAGCGAACCTAAAATATTAAATTTACGTAACAAGACCTCAGAAGTACACCGATAAAGCTTCTCTGAGAAAACTTGAAACAAGTTCAAGGTTAACAACACTGAGGTACATATTGAGATCATTACATTTGCACGCTCACACACATGCATATGTGATATTTTTACTTCTAGGTAAATTATTAACATTCAAGTGTAGAAGAAAATTGAGACCACAAAATGTTTAAGATATACAGATAAAAAATATAAAACTTAAATGATCTTTTAAAAAAAAAATAAACCTTTATGAAAACCATACATGTATGCATGCACACATATATAAACAAATCAATTAACTGAAGAGTTCTCTCTTGACATATTTTTGAATGACTTTATACATTGTCATTTTTATTCATGTATATTTTATTCATGTGTATCTTGGGTCAGTAAAAATGCATGTGGTACTTATTTTCATTTTAACATTGTAAAGGACACTAGTAAAAAAGTTATACACACTGAAAATATGGACTACTTAACTACAATGTCTATAAAAGACTTACTGAAACATATAAATACAATTTTATCCATTTACATTTAGACATGTAGGCTTTAACAAAAGCCAAATATTGGTCTATTCTACTCACAAAACAAGGATTTGAGATTTTAAGAATTATTAGTGTTATATATTAATTTAACAGATTAAAATTTCAAAAATTCTCACATTTGTGGGCACTTGAAAAAAATTCTTGGATAAACAAAATCAAAACAAAAATAAAATTGGTGAAAAACCTGTCATTACTCAGCAACTTTTTGCCAAATACTTGGAAAAACAGGGTATACATTTTCATTGAAATTACAGTAAAGAAAGGGGACTGACCAGAGCTCCTGCTTCAGCAGAGACCAGAAGAGAGAAAAGGACAAAAAATTAGACAGAATTGAAGAGCTGCAACAGTGAAATTTCACAAATCAAAGGATAGAGACTGGCTAATAACAAAAAAAGGAAACAAGACACTCTATAAACTACCTCGACATAATAAATCATATTTGAAAAGAACACAGCTACAGTCATACTCTATGGTGAACATCTGAAAGCTTTAGCTCTAAGATATGTAAAAAGGCAAGTATGTACTACAGTTCAACAAAGTACTAGCACCCTAGCCAGAGTAATTAGATAAGAAAAATAATTAAAGACATCCAAATTGAAAAGAAGTAAAATTCTCTTTTCCACATGAAACAAGCTTATATGTAGAAAACTATAAAGATTACACATTAAAAAAATGTTAAAAGTAGATAAATATTTTAGATAAGTTGCAATGAATAATCTAAAAAACAATTTTTTAATCCAATTTATAGTAGCATCATAAATAATTACATACATACAAATAAACATAGCCATGAAAGTGAGGGCTTATTTACTGAAAACTACAAAACATTACTAAAAGTAATCGAAGGAGGTACAGATAAATAGAAAGACATTCCTAACTCATGGATTGAAGTTGTTCAAATGCCTATGTTACCCAAAGTATTCTACAGCTTCAACGAAATCCTTATCAAAATTCCAAAAACAATTTCGGTAGAAATAGAAAAAAAACACACTGGAATTCGCATGAAATCAAACAAAAAAAAGATCCAGAAGAAACAAAACAGTCTGGAAATTAAAGTCAAAGCCTTCACTTTTTAAATTAAAAAACATCACAAAGCAAGAGTAATCAGGTCGGTGAAATACTGACATGAATTCAGATAAGTGAATTAATAGAAAAGAGAATGCCCTGAAATAAACCCTGTATATATACCAAATGATTTTCAACAAGAAAGCCAGGACTCCACCATAAAGGTCAGTCCATTCAACAAACAATACAAGGAAAACTGAGTATCTACATGCAAAAGAATACAGCTGGACTCTTAACTGCATCAAACGATAACTTCTTTATGTCCAATGATACAATGCACAGGCTGAAAATGCACCCTCTGAGAAATGGATGTGAGAAAAACAACCTAAAGAATCTACAGCCTGGGGTGGCTCCATAGTGTAGTGGTTAGCACGTCTGCTTTACACACAGAAGGTCCTGGGTTCATGCCCCAGGTGGAGCCTCAGACCAGGCCCCAGGTGAGCTAGTCCCCGAGGGGGGGGCCTATGTGCCTCGAGCCATTGGAAAGAGATGCCCCACTTTCAGAGATCCAGTTTTAAAGGGGAGATGGCAACATCGATAGGTCAGAAGTAGGGGTGGAATTAAAGAGGGGGAAGGGAAAAAAACTACAACCCTCAGAAATTACAGTTCATTTCATATTTTAAAATGCATAATGGAACAAAATATCCACTGTCACCAAATTTTTGTCTGTGAACTTTACACTGCATTCCCAATCATGAAGATTCTGAAGTTAATGACTCATTCCTCTAGCTTCAAATGCATCATAAAAGCAGTTAGAAACATTTACCACTGTTGCCCCTTTTCCAGAACTGGGGTATTTGTGCCTAACAATATGTGACGACCATCTTTTATCCTAGTTGACAGAAAAGGTGAGAGTGCATCCAGCCATGGCCCTGAACAATCCCCTTCACCCAAACGCACTGATGCGACAGGGCCTACATCCCGACTCGAATCCAAGAGAGTGAAGCCCTGCCCAAGACGATGCCCAGTGGAACCTCTTCACAAGTCCCATGTCACTGGATAACAGTGAGATGGAATCTAACCAGAGATGACAAGGACTGAGAAAGACCCAGGTTGAATGTCAACAAACATCAGACAGGACAATTCAGAGTCAGAGAAGATCAGCAAGTCAAAGGACATTCTGGAAAGGACAGGCCCAACAATCGAGAATATGACTTTACCTGAGAAAGAGCCATTGCTGACCCCTTCTTTCCTCCTCTTCCTTTTCTGGGCTTCTTCCTCAGGCAACAAGCTTCTACAAGTCAATCTGGAAAGTTGAAAATATCCTGTTTATCAACATATCCCTTCTGGTGCCACCACTGAACACACAGGGGAGACCTCACCATGTGGAAAAGACGATGTCTGCTGCCTCTGCCACAGGACACATTCAAGGACAGTAACTCCTTCTTAGAAACCAGTTAAGTGAGGTTCCCCTCCCTTTTCTTCAGACCATGCTGCCCTCTCGGTAACGCCTTCCCATATACTGCACCAGTCAGAACCTTGGCTGACCTGACACTCCCCTTCAGATCACATACCTGGCTCTGATCTAACCTCGTGCAGGGCAGAGCCCCCTCACTTTCACCGCACACCTCATCCCCCAGTAATGACCCAGAGCTTTGCTGCTCAATGATAAAGACTAATGGCACGTGAAGCACTTTAAATATTACTGAGACTGGGCCCAAGCCAAATGTCTCACTGACACTTTCTACTCAAGGGGCACAAAAGATGTCAGTGCTAAATGCCTCAGCTATCTATTGGGAAGCGCGATTTAGTCCCACCCAGAGGAGGCAAGACTAGCACATCTCCCACCTGCTTTTTCTTTCCCACCTTGAGGCATATGGACAAAATAATTATGTATATTTAAGGAATACAATGTGATCACTTGAAATACATATGTAAAATAATTATCACAAATGAATTAATACATCAACTCACAATGACTATTTTTTATGTCCGTGTGATGAGAACACTAGGACTTACCTCTCAGTAAATTTCAAATATGTAATACAGAGTGATTACACATACTCATGGTGCAGTACTTTAGATGGTGACGTCTTACTGTAAGTTTGTATTGTCTGACCAACATCTCATTTTCTCCACTGCAAGCCCTAGTAACCACCATTCTCTCTAGCTCTGATTTCTACACAAGACAAACAGCGAGATCCTACAATACTTGTTTCTCTCTATGGCTCTATTAACTTAACACAATTTTTGCCACTTTGATCCATATTGTTCGTTCCTTTCATTTTTATAGCTGAATCGTATTTCATTGCATGTAAATATATGGATCACACTTATGTTCTCCATTCATCTGTCAATACTTTTAGGCTGATTCCACACCTTGCTCTTGTGAATAATTCAGTAATGCTCATGGGAGTGCATACATCTCTTCAAACTATGACTTCATTTCCATTGGATATATACTCTGAAGTGAAACCCCTCCTTCACTACTACGTTTTCCTCCTCTCTGTGTATCTACTGCCATATCTTATTTCTTTTTTCTATTCTGCTCATTTTGTTCCCCTCTCCTGGTATATCAAGAATGTGAGCTAAAGTGAGAACACATGCTGGGGAGCAAGATCTCAAATGCTCCCTAGAATGACAGTTTGGCTGTTTCTTTTATGCATTTGAAATTAAGAAAGCACATAAGGTAGATTACAAGAAGATGAGCCAAAGCAAGGCAGGGATAGGTTACAGGACAGCTAAGGAGGTGATGTGCTCTTGAGGATAGTCATGAATGGAGAAACATGACTTCTGGCACATCAAAAGTGTGTTAACCTTGATGCATAAGAACGGAGGTTGACTTGAAAACCTTTCTTTAAAGAAGTCACAGGCCTGAGATATGATTACCCATTCATGACTGCCTAGATAGGAATTACTGATTCATTACACCTTGTTCCTCCACGGGCCCCTGTATTTGCTCGCCGACATCTCCCGGGAAATCCCAATTTTCTCTGAACTTCTATGTCACCCTCCCATACTTTCACTCTACTACTTCCTTGCAAGACCTTCACTCATTCTCCACATTGGCCTCTGTTCTCTCTCTGCTCCTTTCACTTTCTCTATTTCCCAGTCCCGGGCCCTGTTTCGTTAGACCCCCTGGGCCGCACAGAAGGAGTGGAATGGAATAAGATGCCTGCCTCCCCGAAGTGCAAATTCCCAGCAGGGTGGAATGTGGGACGGAATAACAGAAGGTGGCAGAGAACAAGACAAAGTCACTCACCCAAATAAAAGGTCAGAAAAAAAAGGGATTCCAAGGGGAAGCCTGAGGAGCAGAAGGATCAGGACTGAGTGGGACGCCAGGACCGGCGGGGAGGCTGTTTCAGGTGACGGGTGCCGTCCCCAGAAACACAAGACCAGGGAGAGGACGCGGCATCTCCTGGGCCCAGATGGCCGGCGCTGCCACAGGTATCGCGAGGGCGAGGCCGGGCCGCGAATCGACCTCATGGAATGCTGTGAGGGCGCCTGACAAACGGAGAGGTCAGGGAAGGGTTTAACGAAGAAAAACAGGTGACAAGTGGGTCTACGTGGACCGAACACGGAGAAACAGTGAGCAGGACCAGAGCCATTCCACACGCCAAGGGAAGAGCCCGACCACTACGGAGACCTGCAATTTAAACAGGGAAAGGCCGGCTGCGGGGACGATAAGGTCCACGGAGACGCCTGCCCCTGTATGAAGGAGCAGTGTTGTGAAACACAGGGTTAGGGAAGAAAAACGGAAACTCACGCTGAGCAGGGTCTCCCCCACTCCCGGATCTCCGCTCCATTGTTTGCAAGAAATGGCGCGTAGGGGAAAAGCAGGAGCCCCAGGGGCGGTACCTGGTGAGACGTCAGGCCGGCGCACTGGCCCATGGGAAAAGCGAAGAAACGCCGGTGGGGCGCAGCGAGAGAGTCCGCGGGCCGGACCTAAAGGAAAGACTGGCAGGCGCGCTGACCATAGAGGGGGCGGAGAAAATAGGCTTAGGGGCGGGACCAGGGATAGACCTCGACTGCCTATTGACCGCGATGAAAAAACTAAATCCGGCGGAGATAGGGGCGTGGAAAGAGCGGAGGTCAAGCAGTACCAAACAGGACCCGTGAGAGGACGATCACGAGCAGTGTACTAAACGATTTGAAAAGAAAAGGGCGGAATGTGTTGCTGGCGGGGCTTGATCGTTCCGGAGCTTTACTCCCAAGATTTCTTTTACGGGTGACTTTAGCTCCTGGTTGGGCTGTCTCCCGATTTTAAGTTACTATGTCTAACAGTTTTAAGAGAAAAATATTAGAGTTATGTGAGCCACTTATGTTGGAAACTACGACGTTTTCCTCCTAAGTTGGAAACGGTTTAATGCAAAACTTATTTTTGCGAGCTGGTTGCATGCAGGTTCTGCTGGTGAAGCTGAGGCAACCCAGCGGGAACTGGATTGTGGCCAAGGGGGGCGGACCCAGGAATATTTCTGCAATTGGAACTAATGTAAGCAGTTAAATTGGCAGTTGTCTGAGGATGGATTATGTACTAGAACGTGAAATAAAGAGCTCTCTCTCTCTCGGTAGAATAGGCAAGTTCATACGGACACCAACAAAAGAGCATTTTCTTTTTTAGTGCTCATTCACCGCGGAGGCCAAGACCCAACATTAAACTCGATTCCACCTGCAAGCAGTGTTAAGAATAGGTAAATCCATAGAGATGGAAAGTATATTAGTGGTGTCCAGGGAGTGGGGGAAGGGGAATGGAAGCAACTGATTCGTGCCTAAAGTATTTCCTTAGTGGCTGATAAAAATACAGTAGAACTGGATGTGATATTTGTATCATATTCTGAATGGTATACACTGAATTGCTACTAAATTGTACTTTTAACTTGGCCAACCTTATGTTATTTAAATTTCAGTTAAAAACAAATGGAGAGCTATAAGTTCCTCCAAATTATCTATCATGAATCAGTCAGAACACTTGCTGAACAAGTTAAGTTTTGCCTGTCTCCGCCTCTCTGTGTCAAAATAAGAACTC